TCTCATCACCCCAGTTTTAGGGCATCTCTTTGCGGGGGGAGGGGGGCTGTGGGGGTGTCTGTGTGTGGTCGAAATGGGGGTCTCATGCTTTTGGGGTGCGCGCCGCCGGCGGTTCTGGGGTTGGGGTGTCCTCGCGCTGCGGCTTGGGGTGGGGGGGACACACGGATTTCTTGGCACGGAGGAGGGAAAAGGGGGGGGAGGAAGGGAGCGCAAGTGCTCCGGCGTGCGATGATTTCATGGTGAAAAGGGCCCACACTGGGTGTTTTATTAAAAGAAAAACTAAAAAAAAAAAATTAAAATAAAAGAGGAGCAAGAGCTAGGCTTTACCCGGCTCAGCGAGACCCCCAAAACGATGCAGAGCTTCTCCATATCCCCTCGGGGGGGTTGTGACGGTGTCCCCCCACCCCTTACAGCTTGGCCGTCGCTCCCCGCAACCTTTCCCCCTTTCCCGGGGACGGGTCGTTAATCCCATGGGATTTGTCCACGCTGCAAATAACTGTGGAGGTCCCCGCGGCTTGCCACGCTTCGGGGGGGTGGGGGTGTTCATCAGCAGCTGCCCCCGCCCCCCCAAATCCACCCCTCGGGCTTGGGTTTGGTTTGATATATTTATTTTTTTTTTCCTTAAATAAGTCGGTACAGGTGGCAGGATGTGAAGGACGTAAAGCGGAGTGGAAAGGGCCGGATTCAGCCCGGCTGCTGCAGGGCAGGGAGGGCGAGCGTGGGGGTCCCGGTATTCCCGGGGGGACAGCGCCGGCATTTTTGGGGGGGAATTTCTTGTGTTTTGGAAGCCGGAGGCTTCCTGGAAGCGTTGGCTGCAGGGAAGGGATTTGGACGGGAGAGGGGAGGAACGGAGACGTGGCAGAGCGCCCAAGGCAGCTACAAAGGGAAGGGCTCTTCCCCAGGGGTCATCTGGATTCGCTTTCGGGGTAGGGCTGGGGTATAAATCCCGTCTCCCTGGGATCTTCGGAGACCCTCGGGATCTGTTGGGAGCTGGGGGGACCCGGCTGGCTGCGCTCCGGCTCAGCGCAACGTGGGAGCTGAGAGCGGCTGCTTTCATTCAACGAGATTTGGAGATGATTTGAGCCCAGCCTGGGCACCCCCACGGCGCGGCGCGGCAGCGACCCGAGGGGGTTTCGGTGCTGGAGGAGAAATCCAGATGGATGCTCAAGGGGAAAGAGGGATTCTGGCTTCTCAACCAGGCTCTGAAATCTCCTTCCCACCTCGTCCCCAGGGCCGTAGCCAGCGCAGGGAGGCTGCTCGGTGCCACGCTGGGCCGTGCCACGCGGTGAGGTTTGGTAGCCGTGCTCCGCCCCGGGGTGCCGGCTCTCCCTGCGCCCCTGTTCGCGCCAGGGCCGAGTGCTCCCGGATGGGCATCGGGTCCAGGACGGGCAGGAACGGGCAGGAACGGGCATCGCGGCCCCACGCCAGCTGTCAGTGACATGGAGGACGTGCCGAAAGGCCCCGGTGACGTTTCACAACCTCGGGCTCCCTTGGGGTCCCCGTGGCCGCAGTGACAGCCCTGTCCTGGGTGATGATGTCCCAGATTTTGGGGTGTTTGGGAATTGGAGCTGCCAGACTTGGATGGATGTCCATCAGTGACACAAGGCTGACAGCAGCGCCCCGGGAAGGAGCCCGGCCCCAGCCTTGCCCCGTGCCTCAGTTTACCCCTTTACCCACCCCAGGGGACACTGCGAGAGCCAGACAGCGCTGGAGGCTCTGGGCCGGGCCACGCACAGGGCTGGATGTGCAGGGAATTGGTGGGGGAAAACTGGGGGGGACCGAGGAGGGGCACTGCTGGGAGGGGGCACCCAAAATGAGGCAGTGACCCCCACTCCTTCCCGACCCCTGTCACTAGGAGACCGGATCTGGCCCCAGGGAATGTGCAGCTGTTTGTGCAGGGGATTAGTCCCGGGTCCCCCTCAGCACCGGTGCCTGAGGCAGGGACTGAGCATCCCATCCCGCAGTCACTTAGGGTGAGCCCGGCTGGACTGAGCCTGCAGGCAGCACCCAGCACTGCAGGCTAAAGGGCACTCCCTGCTGGTTATCATTAGGGGCCAGAGTGAACACAGGAAGGCATTACCTTGTTCCAGAGCACCCAGGGGAGGGAGAGGCACAACACACATCCCTCTGGAGAGGGCCCATGACCCCAGCCTTGGCCAGCTGCCCAGACTGAGCAGTAGCCAGCAGCTGTGCCTCGGTTTCCCCCGATTCCCTCCTCCCCTCCAAGCCCAGCCAGGAGCAGGGTCGTGGCTCCAGCTCCGTCCCCTGCAGCACCGGCAGGGCCAGAGCGAACAGCGGTTTCCTCCGGGGAAGCAAAGCTGCTTCTCCAGGGCAAACCCTGGGCCCCCCCAGCCCCCCGGAAAGGAGAGGCCAGGAGACTTGGAGCATCCCCGAGTGGTACCTGGCCACGGGGAGGGGCGGGTGGGAGCAGCAGGGCCGGGGGTCCCGCAGGCCTGGGGGGTGTCGGGCGGGCGGCAGCGGCCG